CCCTTTTTAGAGCTGCTTCCAACAAGTCTTACAAAGTCCATCAAAATTACGAGACAGTTATCGACATTGATGCCATTCCAAGCTTCCTGCTCACAGGGTACCTATTATAAATAGTTCTTTTAACCAGCACTTTCAATTAGAACATCGTAAATTCTAGCTTATAATCTTAAGAAATCTATCAACTTTAATTTAAAAATATTTTTCCAAAGTACTGAAATATATATTTTACCTATTTGTCTTTACGGTATCACTTTCTTCTTTTAATTTATATAAGACCTGTATATACAGTTGCAAGAATTCTTTTTTTCTTTGTCTTACTGTAGGAAACAATGGTTCAGCCAGATGAGGAGTACTACCTTGCATAAATGTATCTGAGAAAAGACCTCCACTACCTCACTAACTTCACTGTTGGAATGCCACTTGGTTTTTATCAAGATCCAGTGAATTCAGATGCTGAAATTCCACTGTAGTTTGTCACACTTGAACCATTAAGGCCAGGGTTTTTGTAAGTCATGTGCACATATGGGAAAATATGTATAAAATTTAAAACAGGGTCCTAGATTGTTGAGTATTTTTCATCTTTGAAACGTGCTATTATAAAACTAATGCTGAATGTAACTGCAAATTTGAATCTATGAATCGTTAAAATCTAGTTACAAAGAAAAATATATACTTAGGCTCCACTTCATTCAGTGTCTAAAGTTATTTTTGGATTTTGCTTTAAAATCTATTTTCATATGAAAATAAAAGGTAAAATAAATTTGGGGCTTTAGTCTGACTTTACATTTCACAGTAAAGCCATCATATTATCTTTATCCTAAGAAATGACAATCTTTCAGATAGTTTCCTATTTGTTTGGAGGTTGAAGTATGTTGTATCTATCAGAGAATATGTTTCATCTTTTGAAATACCTACTATAAAACTACTAGAGGCCCAGTGCATGAAAATTCATGCGCCAGAGTAGGGGGTCCTTCAGCCCTGCCTACCTCTGCTTAGTCAAGGAGCCCTTGGGTGAGAGGCGACCCGGCAATCAGGGGAAGGCAACACCCCCATGACACCTCTGCTGCCACCACTGCTGACAGCACAAGCCTCCACTGGCCCTGGGTAGTGAGCAGCTGCCATCAGAGGCTTGCTTGTGCCTCAGCTGGCCCTGCTTGCCTGAGCCTGTCAGTCGGGGGTGCAGGAAGACCCAAGGCCTCTGGCAGGGCTGAGGGGACTCTGTCGGCAGGTGCACTGAGCAGCCAGCCCTGCCCCACTGTGGGTGTCATCTTGTATGTGATGGTCAATTTGCATATTACCTCTTTATAATATAGGCTTATATTTCAGTTGCTTTTCCTCAATCAAAATAATTCTTTGGTGGAAAAGTAGATAATCTGACCCAGAGTAAATTCAAACTATGTTTAGACTTAAAAAATTTTGAATTACTGTAACTAATGCCTCAACTCCAGGGCACAAGAATACATTATTTCTCTTAAAATAAGAATAGCAGCTCTTGGTCACAATGAAATGTGTGACAACAGAACTATCCCCATGGGATAGTGAAGTATGAAACCCCATGTAGATTAGGTTTTAAAATATTTCCAAGGACACTTTTCTAGGCCCCCCTAGACAGCTGCTGATCCATAGCACTTAGTTATGCCATGTTGCTACAATACTGAATAGCAGTGCAGTAATCCTCATCACTTAGATTTATATTCCTAAAAACTTGTTTGGCTACAACTGGACCATTAAGATATGGAATAAACATGTACAATGAAGACAATGAAAGTGACATAAAATTTACTAGTACATAGCAAGTTTTATAAGGCATCTATTCTAAAATGAAAATTGATTTGGTAGTATCTTTTGTACTCACAATCTTGGTTTCATTTTCACAAATCTTAGTAAAATGTTTAAAATCTTAGCCTATTCAGTTATCGAATATCTTTCAGGGACACATTTTCTTGTTCTATCCATGTACTGTATGTGAGGGTAAAATATCTTCTTTCTAAATTACCACATGAACCCTCTCTATATTCTCAAATAAACAAGAATGGAAGGTAATTAGGTTTTCTGTTTATGGGTAGTGAACTGAACTACACAACCACACACACACACACACACACACACACACACACACAAAAGATCATACTTAAAATTACAGATGTGTGGGCAACAAAATTCTCAAAACTTTTAAGAGTCTTCTGGAATTAAAGAAGTGAGGTAATTAGTGTGAGCCAAACATTTGGTTCCAAAAGATTTTTTTCCAAAGAGTTTATTACCTCAGACTAGTATTGTATGAATATCATCAAACCCTTCCCCCCTCTCCCACCCCCCCAAAAAAATCAAGTTTACTGTATCAAATAATTTCCACGAAAAATACTTGAACATTGTGAAATGTCTAATGCATAAAAGGTACTAAGCACCAATTACTAATCAGGAGGGCCGCCTCTCTTATAGGTGCAAGGCAATGAGTAATCCAGAGAACCAGGTGACCACATAGCAGTAAACTCTCATGGATTAAAAATTAAAAGAATTCACATTCTCTCGAAAGTGCACTTGCCCAGTGTCTGGCACATGAATGTTACAATATGACAATTTGCTCCTTTATTTTTGAGCACCCAAGTTTATTTTAGGGGATTAGACATGCAAATTACAGAATTTGGCCCCAAGTACAGTGAAGGGAGAACACCATCAGGCACCAAAGGTGCTGATCTCACACTGAAAAAGGTTGACTTAAAACACTGCAAGTGTGATCTAAACACAAGGATAAAAACTCAATTAGTGATGTGAATTTATATGCTATGTACTAGACTTCTCTATCAACAAATAAGGATAATTCTGGAAAAACTGACAACTTATGTTAAATAATTGTTTACCTGAAGAAAATATGAAATCCTATTATAGTTCAGAAATAATACAAACAATTTTAATTTAATCTAGATACAGGTACTTTATTTACAAATATTTAGATTAATAGCATTTTGTTACATCAAATAAAGAGTACAGCAGTCTGAATAAATTCTGTCACAAAACAATAAGACCCACTGTAACTAACTTTGGAAATCAGGGTATTGCACCTAAACAAGCCGCGGTCTTTAGTTTGTGATTGCTACCTTATATCCCAATGGGTGGTTTGTTTGTTTTGTCTTTGTAAATATATACACACACCGGGAGGTCATGGTCCCTGGGTGAGTCCCTTGTGATGCAACAGTGTGAGCAAAATGGATCACTGTAAGTCTTTAACAGAATATACCAACCTACTCGAGGAATCTTCTTTTTTTTTAAAAGTTTAAGACAAATAAAAATGAGTCCCCAAATTAACCAAATTCTATTTTCTGCACATTCCAGTTTTGGCTTTTATTTAACATTGACTATACAATACTCTGGTACTACCATGTTTACAACCCAGAAAGTTGTATTGTTTTACTTTAGTGTCTGTAAAGAGGGATTTAAAATGTGTATTTTAAACACAGCAGTTGAGCTGAGTGCATTTTATATAATCTATCGAGGTTTACCTATCCTGTACTTCAATAACTTCTAAATTCCAAGCCTGATTTTTAACCTCAGAAATCAGTCAACAAAAGTAAAGAACTTGGTAAAACCTGTTTCTTAACTAAAGAAATACGATTGTTTCCCTTGTAATACTGTATTCTTCAGTGGCCAAACCATCTCAAGTAATAACTTACTTTGTATCAGCACAAACACTGAAACACTATTAGAAACACTTTCCCTTTTATAAAACAATATATGCCAACATGACCAAAAATAGCACTTCATACTAAGAACACAAGGGATATCTTAAATTATTTTACTGTAGTGTTAAAAATGCACAATTTAAAATCCCTTAACAGCAGACTTATGGTTCTGGCTGTCTCATTCAGAATCTCAACCATTCCAAGAAGATAAAGGTATAAAAGCTTAAAATGTGCAATAATAAACCCAGCCTTTTTTCTTTTTCTATACAGTAAGGCAAGAAATGCAGCCTGTAATGCAAAAATGTTTACAAAAAGAGAAAAGCAGGTTTGCACATTGTTGATTGCACAAGAACAGTTAAGAAAATTTGCAGGTAAGCCACAGTGCAAAGATGAACAAAGATGAGCTAGTGTTAATCCTCTCACGCTAGGAGCTCTTTACAGCATAATGTCCCCAAATTGCCAGCACCAATGGGTGGAGCCAATATTACTTGTGAACTGCAGTTGTGTCTATTTCCTTGTGTGAAATGGAAGGGAGTAACATGGTCACATATAGGTCTTGCTGTACAAACTGGTATTTTATACTGTTCCAATGCCAGTAATCAATTTATTTTCTTCATTAAAAGAATATACACAGGATGTATTGTTAGTTCAGTTCCTTCAAAATTTATACATATTTACTTTCTGCTAAAGAGAAAAGGATAAAATGATGTAAAAAAAAAAATAATAAAGCTATTAAGCACAAGAGAGAAGCTGATAAATGGATATTTTCCCTGTACAAGGCTAAGACAGAAGCAAACCTCTTCAAGAAAAATGCCACCCGCACAACAGGGAATTTATCTGACAAAAAAGCAGTTATAGAAACCCTTCTCTATCTCCAGAAGCTATTTCACAGCAATAAACTTCTTGGTTACAACAGACATACTTGAACAGTTAAAAGATGGGGAGAAAGGCTTAAGATATCAAATTAAACCGTACAGTGAGACAAAGCCCTGCCAAAAAGAGGGAGGGGTAAAAATCATGAAGTCCAGCATCAGTGCTCAGTTAAATCATGTATTGGTGACATACCTAACATGAGGACAATCAAAGGGGGGAAAAAAGTCTAGATTTACCATGCAGGAGAGATTACTTGCTTTTGATAACCTGATTACACCTAGTTGTTTAGCCGTTTAGTATTGTGTTAAACTGTTTTTAAACAGAGTTTTTTTTTCTTTTGTTTTTTTAATTAAACCCAGTAAGATGTACAGAAGACAACAAGGCAGTAAAAAGTACTGCTTCCAACAGACAGAGGTGAAAGGTCAAATGAGAGCCACAGCAAAGAGGTCACTAGCAGCCACAGCCTTCTCTCTGGGGTTGGGGTTCACTGGTTAGCCGGCCTCCCTGTGGAGCTGAGGGTTTGTGCTGTACACCAGACTCGGCAGCATTCAGATCCAGGCTTCCATCCTGAATGTTCTGATAGATTTTCTTGGCAGCCTCGAGGAAAGCATCTTCTACATTCTCTCCCCTAAGAGATAATTGACAACTTTATTAGAGAACCACAGTTTTCTACAAAAGATAAGACATTATACACTGACCTTTTGCTAAACTTTAGTCAACTGCCATGATGTCTTCAACTTAGCCACTGTCATCTAATAAGAGATTACCAGGAGACTGAGCTAAGAGAACAACATGGGGAAATATTTTCTGTGGAAAGCATATAAACACAGTACTGAGTTGTTTCTACAAACCCTATTTGATAACTATGTGTTCTAATCATTAAAATGCTAACATACTAATATATAACAGGGAAGATAGGCCATTTCTATTATAATATTAATAGAGTATTCCACTAGAAGTGAAATCTCCAAACATGCACAAATGATTCCTGGATCTGAAGAGTCTGATTAGCCAAACATGAACTGTTGTTTTTCATGTGATAGTGGCATATCCATTCTTAGCCATATTCACACTTCAGTTCTCTTAGGACTAACAGTACAGATTAATAAAAAAGGAGCTAACTTCTTACCAATGCAAGGAATTTTTGGCTTAAATAATTATAATGAGAGTCCCAGGGTTCAATAATGGGCATAGGATAGTAATTAGAAAACGTTAACTATGCTTCTAATTATTCTTAGACATTGAGTATTTCCTTAACTCATGCTTTTTACCATAAGAAGTATTAAATAGGTTGACCAAGCTTAAGTCCATGATGCCAAACTCAACTTCAGTTGTGAAAGTGCTACACTTGAAATGTTTACACAATTTCATTTATTAACATTGCTTACCAGTGAGTAATCAAGATATAATCTTTTAGGTAAAGTAACAAAAAATATTATTTTGTTTTAAAATATTATTATTGCTTACTGTTCTATATTCATAACTTTAGGTATTTATGTATCATACATTTTATGTACAGGTGACCCTTGAATAATGTGGGGGGGTTAGGGACCGACCTTCCTCGAAATCAAAAATCTGCTTTGAACATGCAAATTCCCAATGATGGAGTTGTCTCTTGAATTACGTGGGTTCCAACTGTGCCGGCCAATTGAACTACACAGGTCAATTTAAAAAATCCTCATATGGCCCTAGCTATTTTGATGCATTGGATAGAGCATAGAGCATCAGCCTGTGATCTGAAGGGTCCTAGGTTCCATTCCAGTCAAGGGCACATGTCCGGGTTGTGGGCTATTCCCAAGAGGGATCATGCAAGGGGCAGCCAATCAATGATTCTCTCTCATCATTGATGTTTTTATCTATCTCTCCCTCTCCCTTCCTCTCTGAAACAAAAATATATTAAAAAAGAAATCCTTAGCCCTGGCTGGTGTGGATCAGTGGATAGAGCTTCAGACTGTGGACTGAAGGGTCCGGGTTCGATTCCGGTCAAGGGCACATCCCCAGTAGGGAGTGTGCTGATGTTTCCAATTCTCTCTCTCTCTCTCCCTCTCTGTAAAAAAAAAAAAGAAAGAAAGAAAAATCCTCATATGGCCCAGCAGATGTGGCTCAGTGGTTGAGTGTTGATCCATGAACCACGAGATCAACCAGTTCTGGTCAGGGCACATGCCCAGGTTGCAGGTTTGATCCCCCGTAGGAGACATACAGGAGGCTACTGATTCATGATGTTTCTCATCTATGTGTCTGTCTCTCTATCCTTCTCCCTTTCCACACTCTCTAAAAAAAAAAAAAATGTTTTTTTAAAAAATCCTCCTGATTGAAATCATGCAGTTCACATCCATGTTGTTTATGGGTCAACTGTATATATACATTATATATTTTTCATATCTATGTTCTGAGAAATTGGAATGTAATTGAAAATAATCTAATTTTAGCCATACTTACGTTTTTGCACTTGCTTCAAGGAACAATAAGCCTAAAAGTAAATTTCAGATTGATTAGGACATTTCACATGACCTCACAAGGATATTCTCTTTAGCAACATCTGAATAAAAGTTAAAGCTTCCCATCAGCTTTCAATATTTTATGAAAGAATATAAATGTGAAAAAAGGAAATAATAGTACTCCTCCCCCAACACATGAATTCTCAAACATATTTTGCAATTTCCTCACCCTTGAAAATTGAATAGTTTGCATTAAAAATAATTGTCAAATAATTTGCAGAATCAAAATCCTTAGGAATTCTCCTAAGGGCGACCCTCCTAAAAGCCACTGAAAGCCTTAAAAGAAACCCACCATTTTCTTCAGCGAACTGTTTGGCTTCTTCATAAGTAACATCTCTCTGTGCCTCCAAATCTGCTTTATTTCCTATGAGAATTATTACCTAATGTGTGATCAAAAGAAAAACATCTTAAAACAAAGCAACCAACTTAAATCAACCATAAAAATTCTGAAATCTAAAAATCTTGATAGGAAAAAATGTGGGCCTAAAAAGAAAAACAAGTACTAGCAATTATCTACCAGAGAGGACTGTAGAATCATGAAGCCATTAGAATTAAGATAGATTCTCAGCAATCTTCTAGGTCAGGGGTTCACAAACTTTCTGTAATAGGCAGAGAGGGTATATTCCAGGTTTCTGAGCCCCAAGTTATGATTTTTTTATATATGCTTTTTTTTTTTTTGACAATTGTTTAAAACTGTGAAAAACACCCTTAGCTTAAAAGCCATTCAAACACAAAATAGCCCATGAGGCACACCTGGTCTAGGCCAAAGATTATGATTTATCTACCTAAGATTAGTAAGTGTCCATGGACAAGCTCCAGGGAATCTGTGAAAGCAAAGAATAAAACAAAATGCTGTAAACAAGGATAGTTCATGGCTTTCATCAGATTTTCAAGTTTCTGGAACCCTCACAAAGTTTACAAACTACTAATTCAACTCCTTCAAGCTACTGGTAAAGAAATAAAGGCTCAAGTAAGGCTGACTTGTCAAAGGTCAGTTAATGAGTTAGTGGTAGGAGGACATTAGAACCCAGGTATAACTCTCAAACTATTAACTTCAGGCAAATACTGTCCTACCATTACCTTCCCTCTACCCCCAACACACACACACACACACACACACACACACACACACACACTATCCTTAGGCAGGACTAAGTTTGTAGCAACTGATAACAATTGTCTGTGTATCCAGTGAGATAGTAGAAACACATATGCAGTGAATTCAAGTCCAAAGCAAAGTATCATACAATTATATCCACTTTGGAATCATTTTATACAAGCGGAAGGCCAAAGTTAAAGGCAGCTCTGAAAAGTTCTAAGAATAAGGGTGCAGCCTTGGGAAACAAGTTGTGTGTGTTGTTGTTGTTTTGGGGGGATAAGGGGGAGGGCAAAAGATTTATGAGTAGACTGTTTCTGCCTATATGTTATTTGACACCAACTAACAAACCCTCTCTCCCCTTCCAAACATGTGCTAAATCCAGATATGGATACTTTAGAAGTGGATGGTTTCAACTAAAAGGGATTTCCACAAACATTAACTTCTTTTCATGTGACAATAAAACCCTCCCACTTCCAAAAACTGGTGTCCAATAAACTTTTAATCTGAATGTAATTGAGAATAGTTAAGTAGTATAACAACCTACTTCAACCTATAGGTTTATACACTTAGAGTGAGTTTAATGTAATATGGATATGAAAGTTAGGCAGTCCCTTTCATAATTAGCAAACCATGTTAACGGACTCTCAATATAATTAAGTTAAATTAAATTTAATATAACTTAATAAAAGCCAGTGTTACCAATGAATACATGTTTATTGAACCAGGCTTCTACTAGGTGCTGGGGTACACAGCTAGGTGAGATACAGGCCTTGTTCTGGAGAAGTTCAGAGTCACATCTCTGCCTTTCCTCACTTGGCCCTGAAATACTCTCAGCAGCATCTACTAAAACCCCTGAAATCCCAGCTTAAACACCCTACCACCTCTCTAAAGCTGATTTCTCCAGATGCCACTGCTCATCCTGGGCTCCCATCAGCACACCAGTCACTCAATTCTAACTCATATTTTATTTTGCTTTTAGGCACAGTTATTTATAGTCCCATAGGTAATCTTCCTGCTAGGCTATAACACTTTGTGGGCCAAGGATCCAAAATTATCTTCAGTTTATACTACAGAGTCTAGTATGGTATGGTAACTTAGCTCCTAAAAATCTCAGTATCTTCTCAGTCTAAGAAGCTAATTTTTTAAAGCATGCAGAATTCTACTTTTAATTGAAATTTATTTAGATAATTGTAGATTCACATGTAGTTGTAAGAAATAATGCAGAGATCTACACTTTGCCCACGTTCCTCCAATAGTAACATTTTATGAAACTAATGCAGATCCCTTTTAAAGTGGTAGTTTCAATTTCATAGTCTCTACTTGACATGAGATCACCAACCATTCATAACTTTTTTCCAACCACAAACATAAATAAAAAACAAATATAAAATGTGAGACCTGGGGTAATGAGTGCTGGAAAAAAAAAAAAATAGTACATTTTCTTCAATTAATTTAAGAATAAAATAAAGATTCTCATTCTTAGTACCCAAATACAAAAATCCCACTAACAAATGGCTTTTTTTTTTTGAGGTCAGCTTAGATCTTAGATATCATTTAACTTACAGTATTTGGATTGGTGAGATTCCTTGCATCTGTCAACCAGCTGCTTAAATGGTTATACGTACTTCTTCTGCAAAATGTAAAGTTTACATTTATGACTGCCACATATAATTGCCATTTCAGCAGGAAAAAAAAGAAACTTAAATAAGTATTTAAAATACAGACTTTAATCAACAGATCCTAAAAAAGTATTTTTGCTTTGACTAGATTGTAACCCTAAAGAACAACAGTTATAGAACGCAAAGACATACAATACGCTGGAATAAAATTCCTTTCCAGGGAAGGGATTAGATGTACAAATTGTCAACTGTAAAAACAGTCAAGAGGATATAAAGTACAGAATGGGGAATATATATTTCAATAACTGGTGTCAGGTGGGTATTAGATATGAGGTGATCACCTTTTAAATTATAGAAAGGTCTAATCACTATGTTGTACACCAACTAATATTGTTATGTCTACTGTATTTGAAAAATATAAAAACTGTTCAAAATTAAAATCCACCTTAAAGAATAAGCTAGTTATAGCAGCCTTAAAAACTGGCTTAAAAGCCCTGGCTAGTGTGTTCAATGGTTAGAGCGACAGCCTGCTGACCACATGGTCTTGGGCTTGATTCCTGGTCAAGGGCACATGCCTGGGTTGCAAATTGGATTTCAGGCCCCAAGAGGCAACCAATCGATATCTCTCTCACATCAATGTTTCTCTCTCTCTCTCTTCTTCCCCCTCCTTTTCTCTGTCCCTCCCTTTCACTCTCTCTAAAAATCAACTGGAAAATATATCCTTGGGTGAGGATTAACAAAGAATAAAAACTGGCTTTAAAAAAAAAAGCACTGAATACATGTGACTAGAAATTCAAGTTCCCAGATACCAGAATGTGAGTTTATCCTAACTTTATACTCTTATTCATCAGAGCTAAATCATTTTGGGATTCAAACTGCCCTATTTCTCCACTTTCTAAAAGAAAGTTTAAAAACTCATAGGCTCATTTGCACTAGCCAAGAAAGCCCTGAAATAGCAAGCAAACCCAAATAATTTACAATATTATAAAGGGTATAATATTAATGAGACATTACCAAAGGGATCAAAAGAATAAAAATTTTAAAGATTAAAAATGTTTTTTGTTTATACAGATTCACAGAACATTAATCCATCTTATTCATTTAACAGATGAGGAAACAGAAGCCCACAATGATTTAAATGGTTTCAGAGCCAGGCCTAGGACTTTTATACACAATGGATCCTAAAAGTGTTTCAGGTTTAGCCCTGTGAATAGTATATTCCATAATATCCAGTTGCCAGCTCTCATTTGAAATTCAATATTCAAAACATTTAATTCTTTACTAGTGGAACTGAAAGGAACTCCTTACTCAGACTTTCTTTTTTACTGTGCTATATCATATACACAAATTACCACTTAAATGTACAAAAAAAGACATAAGAATAATAACTTTTCCCAGTGTTTTAAAAATTTTAAATAAGCAGTAGTCAAATATTTTTTAAAAGCACAAGCATTATCACTGCTCAATATTTGCAGTACCAGCTTACCTTGCTTTTACACAAAAATTTTATCCTCCTTTGTGCATAAAACCTTAAATAACACAGCTCCAAAACATTTATACTGATTTTGATGAATATTGTCAACACTGGCAGAAATAGTTAATTACAAACTGGCAACACTTTAGTAAACAGAAAAATTTACACATCCTTTGTAAGTGATATCAAGATTATAAAAACCATATTATTTACATGTACCATATAATTTCTGCTCATTGATCTGGTAATTATTTCATTAATTTAAAATTCACAATCATAATTTCAAATCTATAAATACAGTATCATCCAAATATTCATTACATGGTGGTATTAGAGCTAAAAAAAAAAAGTGCTAAAATATCCCTAACTTTGTCATGGATGTTAGATATATCAAACAATTGATAGAGCCATACAAACTACCATGATAAGCTATGCTATCAATTTAGGAATGTATCCTGTAACGATTAGAGTTACTGCCGAGAATTAAAGTATTATTAAAGCAGGAACTTCTAAGTTTGCAAAATGTCAAGGATTAATAGGAAAAAAAAAAATCGGGGTGGGGGAAGGGGAGGAAACACTATCATGGTTGCAACATCAATGTCACTGTATCACTGAGTCAAGAAAATACCTAGCTAAAGCGTAAAGTACTTTTTACCAGTAAACAGTTTTATTGGGATATAATGAACATACAACAAAGCTCAACCTTTTAAGGTCTACGATATAGTGGTCTTAAGAATATTCACAAAGCTGTGCAATGATCATTACTTTCTAATTCTAGAACATTTTCATCATGAAAAAAAAGAAACTCCATACCCATTAGCACTCACTCCCCATCCTCTAGCATTCTCCTTTATCTCCTTTGTCTCTACACATTGGGCTAGTGTGGGTATTTCATATAAATGGGATTATACATGTGGCCTTTGTTTCTGGCTTCTTTCACTTAGCAAAATGTTTTCTAGGTTCAGCCACTGAATAGCATGTATCAATGTTTTTTCCTTCTAATAGTTGAATTTTATTCTACTGTATGCATATACCAAACCTATTCATCCATACATTCATTAGTTGATGGGCATGTGGTTTGTTTCTAGCATAAGTACTTTTGATAACTTAAACAGATAAACATTACCAAAAGCATTTACTATGCTTAAAAGCAAAGTATGTATGCATCAAATCATCACACTGTATGCCTTATACATGTTATATGTCCATTATATCTCTATAAAGCTGGGGGTGGAGGGGAGGACACATACACCAAAAAGACAAACTATTACTCTATACATTGATATATCGCAAGCACAAATAGCAATATTTAAAATTTATCAATTCATGGAGTTTTTATAATTACGTGAAGTCTTTGGGAATGTATCTCTCATAAAAAGATCTTATACAGATAACCAAATTTTTAAATAGTCTTCCTACAAAACTATTTACTGATCTCTGCCTGGCTATATAGAACCATTAAGGTTGTTTCACTCTTTTAACCCTGAAATCATCCAAACCTAGGAAACAGCATAAATCATTTCCCAGAGGAAAATATGCTTGAAAGTCTATCACTTGGTCCCACTCACTCGTTCCTATGCCACCACCCCAAAATCAGTCACAATGCCTTAGACTGACACTTTGTATTAATGTGAAAGGTGATTCAGTTCATTTTCTAGTGTGCAGTAGACAGTTTAATAAAGTAACACAATTTTCCATGTTTTCCAAAGTCAAACAACCACGGTACAATTTTGTTAAAGTGCTTTGACTTTCCAGAAATAATTAAGTTGAAATAAATTTAATCTCCTGCCTCAAGTAGTTTTGTCAAGTAGAACAAAAAATAATTTAATTAAACGCTCAAACTTCAAAATGTAAGAACTTTCTATAATCTAGTGTTGGATTAGCAAAATTACTTGATTTCTTGCTTGGCCTTATTTTGAAGAAGTGTAAACTTTAACATTAGACACTAACTCCTCAAGACTTGCTTGCTTTTTACTGAAGTGAAAAGAACAAAGTTTGGTATAAAATATTATTTCACCTCAAATAATTCAACTGATGCTGCTTTTCAGAATAGTATTCTTCTGTCAGCTCCACCAGCATCTCCTAAAGTTTTTCTTCAGTCATACCCACTTTCAGCAAAGGAAATCAACACATTATGTCAAGTCTTAAACAGCAATTTAAAGAAGAAACCATAAAACCCAAATAAGCACATTTATTATAGTCACACAATTATAAACTAAGAAATATTTAAATCAATAAAAAGAAACCATACTGCCTAAAAAAGATTTTTTTCCTATTATGAAGGTTGAAAAGTTAATTTCTTACCTAGTGATATCATACACCATAAGCGCTCCTGCAGCTCCTCTGTAGTAGCTTCGTGTAACAGCCCTAAACCTCTCCTGTCCTGCTGTATCCCATATCTGCAGTTTGATTTTTTGGCCACTAACTTCAATTATTCTTGTACCAAATTCAACACCAATTGTGTGAGGACAATCGGCCATAACTGTTAGGGAGGAAAAGAAATAAAATATAACATCCCAACTTCAGAAAAGTTTTAAATTTCTTCTGCTTCAACACAAATTAATATCAGTGGGGAGGAAAAATCCACTGTTTAATCAAATGACTTAGTAATGCTAATAGGCTATAATCAGACTAAAGCTTGTACATAAATAAATAAATAAGCAAAAACCCAGAAGAAGTCATTGACATGTTCTAGGACATGGGTCAGGAAACTTCTGTAAAGGACTAGATCATAAATATTTTAAATTTAAAAATAAAGATAGTAATAAGCTTTTCAAAATACCAATGTTATATTTATCCCTTTGACAATCCTTACATATAACAAATCAATCAATGGTCTTAGGACTCAAGATTTATTAGTCAACCAAATTTTTATCCTGAAAATATACTAATACCTCAAAGAAAATCACCACGCTTACTACATATTTATAGTTCTATATTAGCAAGTTATATATGTCTAATCCAATCGAACAAATTTATTAGTCCTTTCCTTATAATAAGGCCTCTGGAAACCTACACCTACTATTCTCTGGTAGAAGCACACACAGACCAATGGACACTTCATAAAATATTGTATTATGAAAAAAGAAAAGCCACAGAAATTATTTCAACTACATGGAAACAATTTCAACTACATTTGCCTATTAGTTACATAAAATAAAATGGCCCCTCCCCCGGGGGGGGGGGGGAGAGGAACATTTGTAATAATATGAACAATAAAAATTTATTTAAAAAAAAAAATGGCCCCTCCCATACCACCCAAGCCAGAGTTGTACTTTGAATCTTAATCATGTCAGGAATACAGACAGGATTCCATTTTAAGTATTTCCAATCTATTATTATATAGTTAACAAATGATATATTCAGCAAAATTCCCCTAATAAGATAATTTTTATAATGAAAGTCTGAGAATGTAAAAATTTAAATTTGTCATTACAGTATATATTTTTAAAAATTAAGTTTTACCATAAAAAAGTCTTAAGTGAATCAAATTATTATATATATGACACATAAAAATTAACACTGTATTTGTGGGCATATTTCATTTTATCTGCACTTATTTAAAAATAGAATCATTCCCTAAAGACAAAAGTGCGTATGTTCAAATACATAGAGAACACTAAAAATGACACTTTAAAAGGTAAAGTGACAATAATTTACTCATATTTTACCTTACATTTTAAACTTACATTTTTTTTCTGTAAATTGATGAAGCAAGCAAGATTTTCCTACTCCCATGTCCCCTGTTTAAAAAGAAAAGTTTCAAGTGGCAATTACATTTCTCAATTTTACACTCATAATTATATACAATGTCTGCATACAATATCATAAATTTCTGAGCTACTTAGAAAAATTGCATTTCCCTAATTTATAATGAGTTTAAAAATCCTATAGGTCATTTTTCACTGAGATGTACAAATTCACTATTCCCAACTTTCAGCAGTAATAAGACTCTGGTTACTAGCCACCAGCTGAGAAGTGTGGGTTTTTAAAATTTTTTGTTGCTAATTCTCACCAGATAATATTTTTTTCCATTGATTTTGAGAGAAGGGTGATAGGGAGGGACAAGGATGTGAGAGAGAGACATGGACTGATTGCCTCCTGGGGTCTGGGATCCAGCCTACAACCCAGGTACATGCCCTTGACCAGGAATCAAACCTAAGATTCTTGGGTCAGCAGGCCAGTGCTCTAACCACTGAGAAATATTGGCCAGGGCAGAAACTGCCTTTTTTTAAAAAATAAATCTTATTGATTTTTTTACAGTGAGGAAGGGAGAGGGACAGAGGAATAGAGAGTTAGAAACATTGATGAGGGAGAAACATTGATCAGCTGCCTTCTGCACACCCTCTACTAGGGATGTGTCGACAACCAAGGTACATACCCTTGACCAGAATTGAACCTGGGACTCTTCAGTCCATAGGCTGACGCTCTATCCACTGAGCAAAACCAGTCAGGGCAGAAAGTGCTTTTTTAACAGAGAAATTGTTCTAATCATTTTTTTCACTTTGAGCTGTTTCAAAGTTTTACGTTGTTCTTTCTCTTTACCATGCATAAAAATAAAAGACTTCTAGGAGTAACAAATAGGGCAGCAGCTATAATAAGCGGAAGTCAGTTTTTGAAGCCTGATTCACTAGATCCTATCTTATCTCAAATTTTTTTGTGTGTGTGCAAAATTCCACAAAAAAGAACATGCACTACATGGAAACCATAATAGAACAAGTTTCACTTCAGTACTAGAGCAATTTAATCTTTGGTGAAGGAAGCATTCCACTATAGTCACTTAAGATCAACATTAAACCAAACTATTCTCATTTGTAGAACTAACTGAAAAGTATATGTACTTTCAACTGTGCTCTTACAACTATATTTGGATAAACAGCATTAATTTGGTTTGGAACAGGGATCCTTTCAATTTGAGTAAAATCGTCTTGAAACTTAAGGAAAAAACCATCAATATTATATTTACTAGAGGCCTGGTGCATGAAATTTGTGCACAGGGGAGAGGGAAGGGGCGGTGCTCCTCAGCCCAGCCTGCACCCTCTCCAATCTTGACCCCTCGGGGATCAGGCTTAAACTGGATGTCCCTCTCACAATCTGGGACTGCTAGCTCCCTAACCACTCGCCTGCCTGCCTGCCTGATTGCCCCTAACTACTCTGCCTGCCAGCGTTACAGCCCCCTAAACACTCCCTTGCCAGCCTGATTGATGTCTAACTGCTCCCCTGACAGCATGATCATCTCCAACTTCCCTCCCTAATCACCCCCAACTGCCTTCCCCTGTGGGGCTGAGAGGACTGGAGGATTCTGGCTGGATGAGGCAGGGCTGAGGGGACTGAGGCTAGATGAGGTGGAGCTGAGGGGACTGGGCGCCACCATCTTGTGAAGGTGTGAGAGTCAATTAGCATATTCCCCCCTTATTAGATAGTATGTGTATTACACAATTGTTCTGAATCAATGTTTGGAATCCAAAAATTGGGTTCTGAGGTTTTTTATGATATTTTTGGAATGTATCCTCACTCCTAGGAAGTTAATTTATTTTCCAGTATTAACAAGCTTTCAGATATCTCCCAAGAACAATCAAGATCACTTCAACCAAGATACATTGTTCTACAAAAGTATCCAGAGCCACAAAGCAGTGAGTCCATTGTTAATGCAACTATAAATTTCAAGACTTTTAATTTTGCACTGAGAAAGTCATCCACTTCTGGAGTGGTATGTTAAATATTAGTATATCAATATTTTATATATTAACCTTCTTTGGAGAACAAAAGTGTAAGTTAAATAAACTTACCAATAATAATATATTTAAAGATGTAAGAGTAGTTGTATGGTGCAGTTGCCATGGTGGCACTAAAAACAAAGAAAATGTTGTTACTTCAGTAGAAAAGTATACATATTATTCAAACTGATACTGCTATCCAAAGGTATATAAAATAAAGCACACTGATTATAAACAAAATGTTGGTTATAGTAATTTGGAGTAAAACTGCATTTCCCAAATTGATCAAATGCACAAATTTTCATGAATGAACACTGTTTTAATATTCTCATGCATTATCCATGGAAATATAAGAATTTATTCATCACATTTGAATAAAATTAGATTAACTCTAATTCTGATCATCACCCTAACTCAGTGGTTCTCAACCTTTCTAATTCCCAGCAATTATATCTAAACAGTTCCAATATTTCACATTAGGAAATATTTAATAACAAATGTTATTCTGGAAAATGTTCAACCAGAAAATATTTATAAGTTTGAATTAACTATCATTATAAATAATCCTCTTCTCCTCTTTAAAACCCATCCCTATTACTGGTCAAGTGATTTACTGATGGCCTACTTGTGCAGAACTTGCTGATTTTTAAAACAGAATCTTTTTTTTTTTTTTTAAGTAACCACTAACTTATAAACACAATGTAACTTTTTTATTCCACTATAAATATGATGGTTAGCATAGTATTCAAGAAAAAGCAATCATTATTCCCAAACCAAATTAACGTCAGATTTATAAAGAACCATATGAAACTGTTTTTGTAGATTTTTTAAAAAAGGCAATCATTGGCAATTTCATATGGTTCAACCTAATGTAAGATTGAAAGATTAACAATATATCAAATGTCTGCTATTTAAGGAGCTGAGAGAAATAATGGCATAAAGTATTACTTATGATTGTAAAATATGGAAGTTTACATGTCAAAATAAATTTCAAAAGATCATAGCCCATCCCATAACTTCAGACAGGCTTATCCTAAAGAATTATAATTTCACTTCTTTTAATAAGTTAAAAAAAACTACTCCAATTTATTCAAATGAACGTCTTGAATGTGTAAGACACTGTTAGATGCTAGAGAAGAGATGAATTCTAATACTGGTAATAACTTCCAATAAAATTACTCTCAAACCAGTTTTCAGTTTAAGCAAAGATAAAATTCTTTATATATAAATGAAGGTTTAACCTTCATTTTAAAAAATTTGAATTCCCAGTAATTTTTAAAATCTGGTTCTTACTGTTTTGGCCAACTGTCCATTATACAAGTTTATACAGTTGGTATGACTGAAGAACTGAAACATGTATTTCAAATAAAATTTCTATATAACCTATAGGAAAAGTATATACGTAAAATGAGTGGCTTATAATCAGGGAAGGGAAAGTTATAATTACTGGACAATCATATCACACAATATAGTCTCCTCTCTTAGTTTTATGAATTACATTCAACTAAAGTTGAGGCCCTGCTACCCATTCCAGCTTGACTTGTTTTAACACATTTATAATCAGTCTCTGACATCACAAAAAACTCCTTTAACCAGTTCTTTCAGGAAAGGGTTTTTTCCTAGGTAGATTAACTCTAATTCTGATCATCACCCTAACTCAGTGGTTCTCAACCTTTCTAATGTCACGACCCTTTAATACAGGTCCTCTTGTTGTGGTGACCCCCAACCATAAAACTATTTTCGTTGCTACTTCATAACCGTAATTTTGCAACAGTTAATGAATCGTAATGTAAATATCTGTGTTTTCTGATGGTCTTAGGCGACCCTGCTAATCTTTGAGGGCAGGGCAGTTAATTAGCATATTCCCACTAGCAGGGTCGCCTAAGACAATTAAAAAAAAACACAGATATTTACATTACGATTCATTAACAATGGCAAAATTATAGTTATGAAGTAGCAACGAAAATAGTTTTATGGTTGGGGGTCACCACAACATGAGAAACTGTATTAAAGGGTCACAGCATTAGAAAGGCTGAGAACCACTGCCCTAATTCCCTTTTTTCAGACACTAGGGACTCAAAATTTTAAAAAATGAACTTGGTCCTGAGGCAAAAATTTGTCTGAATTATTCACTAGATTTCTGAACCATATCCCAAACACAAAGAAAAAAAATAACCTCTCTCAATAAAAATGGTATTTAAAGATTATAACATCTCAGCTTACACTCCTTCCAGACGCTTTTCTTCTAATTAATTTTTAACTCTTCTTTCCCCATTCAAACTTGGGGGAAATAATAATTTAGTAACCTTTAGCTTACTGTTTCTCTCATGTTCTTCCCCTTCTTATTTTCCTGTTTCTTTCCTTCCTGTTCTTATTGAAAGTTGAGGCTGTACATACTTTGCTTCCTTCCATTTTATATGAAAACTATGACCTCTAACAAGATTCATTCTACTACTTGAAATGCTCTAAAAGCGAATCATGAAATTACAACCCAATTCTAGTCATACTAATTTGCACACCAGCTAATTATCACACAAGTATTCATTAATCAAACATCTACTAAGATGACTAATTTGGAAAATGTTTTTTTAAATTACCAAGCAATACTTGCTATCAACTATTTCCAAATAAAAAATTATTTCATACCTAATACCTTTGCTGTTTCTACTTCACCACACAATTTTCTAGTTCAAGTTTCTTAAAAAGTGAAATAAAAACCTTGAAAGCAGAGTTAAAGAAAAATAACTCAAATTTACTCATTTCAGTAGGTAAGGAAAGCAGAAAATATCTAGCACTGTAGCTACTAATGCATCAGGTTCTCCCTTTCTTACTCTAAGGTAAGATACTGACGAAGTTTAAATATACTTCTATAGATTATTGATAGCATTCATGTAAAATTATGTATTTGCAGTAGAACTCTATTCAAGTGGCCTCTTTTATTTTTACTTACTTTTATTTTATTAAATTTATTGGGGTGACATTGGTTAATAAGATCATATAGATTTCAAGTGTACACTTTTATGATATACTAGAGGCCCAGTACATGAAAATTCATGCACTGGAGGGGGGTTCCTCAGTCCGACTTGCCCTCTCTCACAGTCCAACAGCCCTCAGGCGGGAAGCGACCCTGAGATCAGTGGAAGGCGACACCCCATTACACCTCTGCTGCTGCTACTGCTGGCAGCCCAAGCCTCGGCTGGCCCTGGTTATTTACACCTCGGGCTGGCCCTGGGGGCTGAGAGGACTGGGGGACTTCGGAGGGACTGGGCGCCATCATCTTGTAGCTGTGGGCACCACCATTTTTGAGGGCAGGGCATCAATTTGCATATTCCCTCCTTACTGTCTGTGGGCACTGCCACCTTTGAGTGCAGGACAGTCAGTTAGCATATTCCCTCCTTATTGGCTACAAGTGCCACCATCTTTGAGGGCAGGGCAGTCAATTAGCATATTACCTCCTTATTGGCTGTGGGTGCTGCCATCTTTGCAATGGTGTGAGGGTCAATTAGCATATCCTCTTTATTAGATAGGATAATCTGTATGTTGCATATTAACTATTTAACAGTGCTTAACGCAAGGATTTCCCAACCTCATTTCTTGAACATGAAACTAACCAGTGTTAAAATTTATGAGAAATATATTTGTAACTAGCAACCAACTTTGGAAGGGGGTGGGGGGTTACCTATTAAGAGGTGCCTTTGCTTCACTTAATTCAAAAGTAAAAAATAAACAAACAAATAAATAAATAAATAAATAAAAATAAATTGCATTAGAAATGTTAATCTAGGTCAAATGCTCTGAAAACGAGTCCAACTTCTTAGCACTATAATCTCCACTAATTAAAAAACCTTGGTAATATTCTGTAATTGAGCACAACCACTAATATGATTAAAATGCACTTTCAGGTTTTACAAAAAACATTTGAATAAAATTCAAATCATATAAATCATGTTTAATGTCTTTTGATTTCTTTAGGGGAAAAAGAGCACTAAATTCAGATGACAGATATCATTAAATAAATGAACAACTTGTAAACTAATAACAAACACAACTGTTATAGTTACACTTTGGGGGTATTTAATATATTCCAGGGAATGTGCTAAATATTTCACATGCAATGTCATTTCAGTCTTACTATCATTCTTATAAAATAGTGACAATTATCCACTTTTTGCAGATGAGGAAAGACCTAACAGGCAAGTAACATGCCCATGTCACACAGCTAATTGTCTCTATTAAAGTTAGACTGTTTTGGCTTTTGTGTTAAACCACACCACCATCATCCCTCCTCCACAATTATAAGTTATACCTGTTGAATACATCTATGAACCCTTACAGTGGTACACTGGGGCAAATCTTTTTCAGTCCACATATTTGGTTCTAATTTAACATTCTGAATAAGCAGTATTAAATGACTACACTCAAGAGGATGCACTGTAATTAGGATTTATAGATATGGTTAAATGATAATAGTAGTAATAATAATTCATATTATATTTATTCTTAAAAGTTTCTGAATGGAAATATTTGTTGAGAGTAAACCATATGATGATCTGCATTTTCCTTATATTGATTATCTTATATAATTCTTAGTTAATTCTCACAACTCTGCAAAATCATAATCATGTCTATTAAAACTGAATAAGCAGAAATTGGAAGAAATTCACATTTGGCCAGTGTTACAAAGTTAGTAAATGATAGAGCTGAAACTTGATTTTAGACCTAATTTCAAAGAACCCAATTTTCTTTAAGGTAGCTTATTAAAGGCACATAAATATGTGGACTGATAAAAGAAAAGCAAAAACTCAAAATTAGAAAAAGATGGAGGATAATTATACCATGAAATGAAGGTATTATAGTTTTACAACCAGTACATATAAAATTTAGCTCAAAACTTCCTGGTTATCAAGAGAAGTGTTTACTAAATGCATAAATAATTGTTGTGTGGCCTGTTATAAATATTAACTATGCTTCATATTGCTTTAATAGGATTTTGCAACCTCATCTCTTTAACATGAAACAGACCACTGTTAAGGTGAGAAGTACATTTTTTAAATGGAGTTTGCTATTGCATAAAATGCTTCAACATGTTTTTCACTTAAAAATAAATTATGGATGTTTTCCCAG